ATTTAGAGTCATTCAATGTTTTAAGAATTTTATCGGCTGTTTAACAACTTGGTCATAGCCCACTAACAGCCTATTTTTAATCAATTATTAAAACAAGTCAATTTTTGCGTTCCGATATTTCAGTCTCCGTTGTGTGGCTTGTTCAAAAATAGCTAACTTTGACTCCACGTAGATTCTGTCGGCACTTTATGTTCCATTTGTAACTTATTTTAATTTTAGTTCCTTTTAGCGTTGACACTTTGCCAGTTAATTTTCCAGTGCTGCGTTTTTAGAAATGGCGCTCTTTCTAAATAGACGTCATCTTTAAAGTTCATCTTTGTGAATAGTAGAAACATACGGTAGTTATATAGGCCTAAGTAAAAAAGATTAATCTGTACAGTTTTTTAGAGACAAAAGTTGTAAAAGTTTGTATAACCTGGTGTGTTAAAGTTAAAGGACGTCGACATTAGTAAACACCCGAACGCACTCAAAACTCAATTTCCCCGACTCTCCCAAACCAGGCTTTTATACCATCATCATACCCTCCCCCCATCATTTTTGTGCCGCTTCATTTCAACATATGTCCTTTTAATCTAACTTTCTCTATTGAATGGTTCGTCGACATCTATTTTAAACTAAAATAGCATATTGGACATCTAATTTAAACTAGAATAGCATATTGTCATTTCCAATGACTTATTAGGTCATTTCTTTATAAACCTTTCATCCCCCTCACCGTCTCGCGTTGTCTTCACTAACACAATTGCCTGAAATTTGTGGAGTCCGTCACAATCATGGTTGAGACAGCATCAAAATCAACACACCGCAGCCTCTGGCTACCCTCTACCAGGGCCATAGATTGATTTTTCACTAGATATTAAAAGATGCGTCTCTGTTTAAATAGATGGATAATCTCTGTACTGTAAAAGCAAATAATACCCACAGCATAATAACTGCGGAATATGGCTCATTTGAAATGTCTTCACAACAGAGAACATATTTTGGGTTACATGTAGCAAGAAAGATTAAGAGGTTAAAACACGTGCGAAAGAGGGGGAGAAAAGTTAAAATAGGTTTAACTGAGACATTAATAAAATCGAAAAACAAATTAATTCAATTACAAGCTACTACTACTACATTTTGATGGACAATATCAAATTACGCACAAGCATCTAGAACTAAAGTCGGAAATCACCACTGGAGAGATTATCATTATCAGCGTTCTTATCATTATCAGCCAAGGCTACATTTTTCACAGACGCCGTACGATGAAATCGAAATCAAATTTTTCGTTTATTTTGTACCGTAAAAGTGTCTATGGGCTAGCATGCTTACGTTCGGTACGGGCGACGTACTACATGTATTTCTCCAACATGACCTTGAAGTTAAGTGACGGACGCCCCACGAGTAGGGGCATATGGGCAATACATGGACACCATACGGACATTGTATACGACAAATGAAACCTAGGATCGGATATGTGGTAATTTTTTTAATATATTTGGTCTGGAATTATGCGTACAATTTTTGAAATGTTTGCGGGCGCACCTGAGAGAAATTTCTGTTTGTGCTCGCTCGTGTTTGTGTGTGTGTGTTTGTGTGTGTGTGTGTGTGTGGGAGGGGGTTGGTCCTTTATAAGGATAATGAAACCAGATCCGCTCATTTCTCAATCGATTGGTTTCCTAGATTTAATCGTATTGTCATCACACCCACGTGCAGTGAGTATTACTTATATATAACCTATGCCAGTAATAAATTGCCTTCTATACTACTACCTCTTATACTACTACTCTCACTACTACTACTTCATCTTGTAGGCCTACTACTACATGCACTGCTACTACTACTTACACTGCCACAGGTATGCTGAGGTGACTTTCCAAAGTCTCTTAGATGCTGTCGGGGACAACCTGAAAATATCTGTTCCCCGTGAGTTAGTACGACTGTTGTAACGAACTGATATTTTTGTATGTCTCCCTTCCTCTCTCCTACAACTCTCCGTTATCCTTCTCACCCCCACCCCACCCCACCACATTCCCCTTCAAACACTCCAATCATTGCAATACACGTACATGCGGGTACGTACGGATANGGCAAGACCCACGCCCTCCACCCTGACGCACACGCACACACACACACACACACACACACACACACAACTATTTTTTATGCTTTGGAAAGTAACGCCTCGGTTAGAATTGTGTTGTTAGCAGTTTGCTACAGTAAAATACTTTGACTTTACAAAATGATATAGAAAAATCAAATAGGCAATAAAGAAATTTATTAAATTCCATTTAGAGTCATTCAATGTTTT